TGCTGATGGACAGTGAGTGTAATGGGGTGAGGTGGGCATCTTGATAATATGGGTGAATGTTGTAACTACAATGTTGCTCATGTGAAACCTTCATCAGATTGTATGTCAATGATACTTCAATAAAAAATACCTCATTGGGTCATGGATATCAAACCAATTGAGGAAGGTCAATTAATTGACTGAGGACTAAGCTTTGATTCTAATCTCTCAAGATCAGTTAATCTCAATATTACTAATAGCTAACTTTTTTTTTCCCATAAAGTACTTTGTTCACAAAAAATTTTGCCACATGCAGTCTAGGTTGTTTAGGGGCCTGATGAGAAACTGTACAACGGCTTTCTCTGAGATTCGCTGGTACTGTTACTGTACTGAACTCCGAAGTTTCCATCTTGTTCATCTGGGTGGGGATAGGAGACTTGGCTGTGGTAAGGAAAGGGCCTCTCCTGAAGGAAATCACTGAGAGTTACAAGTAGGATGCTCTATTCTTGTTGCAAAAATAAAAAAAAAGGCAATGCCTGTTTAAAAGTGGAAATAATGGTTTCTTTTAGAATTACATTGCAATTTATTTCACTGCACAAGTGGATCTGATAAAGTGAGGTTTATTTTTGTTGTTGTTTGGGATCTAAGTTAGTTGATGTTTCATTAATATTGAGGAACATCTATCATGGAAATAATTGAAATAATTAGGGGAGTGAGAGTGGCAGCAGGGAGGAAGCATTTCAGCATGGTGCTGATTTGGGCATCCCTGGAGTAGTCAGCCATTGTGTTGCAGCAGCTTATTGGCATCCAGTGGCGGCTGGAGACAGATGATGGTGTAGCTCCATTCCAAAGAGTGTCCTTTGCCTGCTCTCAAGTATCAGAATACTCAACTTCTACTGATTTTCCCAGTGTGATCATTTTCACTATACATTCCTTTACACTGCAAGAGAACAAAAGCATGAAATGTCCTCTTTATGTTTCTTCCACGGTCAAGACCTTTTTAAGAGGGCTGGATCCAAGATGGTGACATCCAGGACACATAGTACCATGGATTGACTTGATGGACCCAATGTGATCGCATGAGCCCTTAAAAGCAGAAGAGGAAGGTAGAAGAGGAATTCAGAGAGATTTGAAGCATGAGAAAGATTTGATATACTCGTATTGGCTTGAGAAGAGCTGTGTGTCAAAGGAGGTGGGAACCTCAAACCAGCAATGTCAGGAACTGGATTCCGCCAGTGAACAGTGAGCTTGGAAGATGAATCTGACCCCCAAATGAGTATCATAGCCCAGGCCAATACCTTGATTTTAGCCTGGTGAGATCCTAAGCAGAGAACCCAGGCACATTGTGCCAGAGCTCATACTTACAAATGCTTTGAGATAATAAGTGAGTGTTGTTTTAAACCATTACATTTGTTGTAATCTGTTACAACAGCAAAAGAAAATAAATAGAATAAATATGTAGGATGGACTTCCTAGGTTATATGGTAAGTTTCCATTTAAAGAAATTCTGCAGTAGTTTTGAGCAGAGGAGTGATGTGGCATTTTGAAAGGATCTCTGGCTATGCTGAAACTAGCCTGGAGAGGGGAGGCAGGACAAGTGATGGTGGTATCTCGGACAAGTCATTCTGCCCTAGTTGGAATCAGGACAGAGCTGTGGATGACAGGAGCATCAGGAGCTGGTTGGCATTCTTCTGCAGTTGCCCTGGCAGAAGATGACGGTAGCATCCAAGAGTCCTCAGTGATTGAACAACCCCAGGACGCTCACTTGTCAGTCTCCAGTGAAGTCTGAGTCCTCAGTTGGCTGAGTGGAAATAAAAAGACTCTGTAAGGCATTTTTCTTTTTATCATTGCATGTAAATAAACATCCCCCACTCACCACTCTGCTGGTAGAGGTGATGGAAGTTTGACAGAGGAAAATGAACATCAAATGAATGGACTAAGAGAATTGTCTTGTGGGAAAAACATAATGTGGCATGTAACAAAGGGTGGTTTTGAAGGTGAGGAATGTCATTCCATATAAATACGTGTGTGCTGTGTTGATATGTCTTGAACATTGCAAAATATCTCTTACACTCACTATCAAGTGTTGAGTACAAAACTTTCCAAGGACATATTTCATGTGATTTGATCTGAGTGATAAGCAGAGTTCCTAATTTGGCTGTTGTAAGTTAATGTTTAGTTTTCCAAGCTTTTTGAAGAGAATTGATGACACCCATTCACCATTTCAACATCTTAAATGCATGTCTGACAATTATCCATATTGGGAGAAGTCATCCTTATTTGACTGAATCTCATAAGCTTCTTGAATGCCTTTGGGTCTTTGTGCACACACACTATTCTCTCTTTTTTGGTACCTTAGTGTTCACCTTTACTTCTTAGGCTAATACTCCAAGAAACTTCTCTGACCCTCATGTTCAAGTTAGGTGTCCCTCTGAGATGCTGTCATCTCAGTACTTACTCATCACTGTGCTATTTTGTTTTGTCTGCTTCTCATCTGTCTCCCTAACTTGATTTTGGGCTCTAAAAGTTCAGGACTCAGTGTTCACCCTTAAATCCCTATTGCAAAGAACTTGACACAGCTAAGCACTCAGTAAATACTGGTTGAAATAAAACAAAAGAATCACAATTGTCACTTTATTGCATGTCCTCATCTTTAAACAAAAAACAAAACAAAACAAAACATTTAATCTCTTAGAGAAAGAACAAGTATCGAGGAAAAGTCAGTTGCGATTGACAAATTTTTCAATCCTGACAAACAAATGTAGCAGAAGAGAATACAGTATGTTGACCACAGACATGTGCGTACTACATGTGGTTGCCAAGATCTTTTCAGCTTAAAGAAAACAGCCTTATACTAAGTACTTTTTGCTTGGGCTTAATTAGTTTGGCTCCATCTTTGGAGTTTGCTCCTGAGAAAAGACTGTCTTGGGGAATTCTCAAAAATGTGTTAAGCAGCATTGGTTGCATGACGTATCTCCCTCTGAATCGCTGCACAGGGATATATGTGTGAGAAATGTGTTTTTCAGAAAAGTGACAGGACAGCTAAGTACTTAAAGGATATGGTACTCTTCAGAGAAAGTTAGCATGGTTTACTGTGCAGTGTACCATGGAGGGGAAAAAATCCCTTGATTTCAGGAATACATACTTGACCAAATACATGGGATCTCATTTTCAGAGGGTCTTGCCCAGGTTTCCCCATAAATTCCCACAAACAATTCAATTTTATTTGACATCTATTGGGTTGCACTTGACATTTCCAAGTGCAGTAGATATTTTTTTCTTCCTGACATCTCAGTTGTGAAATTATGATTGACAGTCTATAATGCTCAACTCAGTTGTGTTCAAAATTGACCAATGGTCAGTTTTAGAAGAGGAGCCAGTTCCAAGTTTTGTGACCCCTGGATAACATTGTCACCCAGGAAGGTGAGATAATATTAATAGTTAATCAAGGGAATGTCTCTGCTGATGGTCCTGGGTCTCAGGCCCTATTTCCAGACTCAGAGCTTTGGCTAGCCTATTATATATATATATCTCCCCCATAGTGCTCTGAGGAGGCACTCAGCAACTACTGGGTAAGTGAATAAATATAGCCACTTTGATGATGTGCCTTTCATTATCTTTTAATTGACTTATTTAGCACTCGTCCTCACACACACACAAAAAATCACTTGGAATCATCCCACCCAGATATTTCCACTGTTGTCAGTGTGATTCATGGCCTTCCAGACTTATGTGCAAACGTGTAAGTGCATACACAGAGCCACAAAATGTGGCTTATGTTGTACCTACCTATTTTGTGTAAGGCATCTTTATTTGTCAAGGAACAGAGCTCTATACTGTAAATATATACAAAGCCATTATTTGCTCCACTTTATCTTATTTAACCAAATATGTTTTCTTAGACATTAGGATGACTGCATTTCTCCTGTATTATAAGTAACCTACCATGAACATCCTTAGTCCATATATCCTTGTTCACTCAAGTGATTAGTGTTATACAAGTAGAATTGCTGGTTGCTGAGTATATGACTTTAAGTCTTTGGAGGCTTAATTGCCCTTGAAAGGTTGTATCACCAATGTATACTCTTAGTCAAGTGACGATTGAGTCACTCTTCCTCAGTGTGAATTTGTGTGCTTGTTTCCCCAAGTCTTCTCCAAAGTTGTATATTGCCATTCATTATTGAGTTTTACGAGGATGCCCACTATCTTTTGGAGACCAGCACTGATTCTGATAGAAACCCAATATAGCAAGCAGTTTCATGTTATAGAGTGTATTATGTTATTATTATATATGAGACTTAGCCATATACTGCATATTGTAATTCTTTGTACCTATGACTCTAGGTTGTAAGCTCTTTGAGGATGTTGATAGCCTGTTGTATATTGTAGCCAGCACACAAAACAGTATATGTAAAGGTGTGCATATCTTTAATGGCTTCTTCTTTAGTGAAAGGAATTTCACAATTTGGTCTTGTTAATGACCATGATCCGGTCCCCCCATTTACCCAATCTATAGACATTTTTCCAAAGTCTGTTCTCAAAAATAAGGAGTTGCTGTTTCCCTGTATGAGTCTGCTTGCTTCCTTGTGCTGTTCTGCTGGACTTTTTTTTAACCCAAATCTCTTTTGTGTATTGATGTCTGCTTTGTCTATGTGCCATTTCTCCTCTTTGTCCAGCATATTTTATAATGTTCTGGAGAACTAGTTTTTTCTAATTTTTTTCATCTTTAAGGGGCCACATAATTTTTTTGCATTAGACATTTATTGGATTTTATTTTAGCAAATGCTGTGTCTGTATAACAGTTGAATACAAAATAAAACATGGATTTAGGAGTGATAATCTCAATTTTTGTTGCATTTCTGCTTCTTTTGGTGCTTCTGACTTGACAAAGTCCTGTTATTAGTTAAAGAATCTGTCTCCTTTGCATGGTGTAGTGAAAATGAAGGGAAATTTAATGAATATAAAACTCTAAAAAAAATCTGTAAAGTAATGGAAAAATTAAATATTTTATTATCTTCCAGGGAAAAAACAGGGTCCAACCAAGCTGTGGGCCAAATACAGGAATGCAGACAACCAGAAGGCTGAAAATGTAGATGGTGAGTCAAGTGGGGAGGCCGCAGGTTTAGACAGTGGTTAATGAAGAAGCACTGTAGGGAAATAAAGGACTAAGAATGAGTAGGAAAAGATGGCATAGTGGTCTTACGGTTAGGGAAAGGGCTTAATCTATATTGCGGTGGCCATGGATAATTTACTTATTTCCCTCTTTGAAAATAGTTGGTCTTCTATGCAACAGATGTTTTGGGAGCCCTGACTTAAAGTGTGGCCCGGACTGAGAGCACGTGGAAGAAGGACAGCTAACTTTTATTGAGGGTCTTCCATGTGCATCTATCATGATCATACTAGATACCTTCTTGAATATCATTTGCGTCCATGCAATCTGATGAGGACACATTTTGGAAAAAAATACACCGGGGCCTTTATTGGTTTCCTAAGGCTTTCATAACAAATTATCCCAAAATGTGGGCAGCTTAAAACAACCACAATTGATTTTTTTCTCAATTCTGGAGGCCAGGAGTTCAGAGTCAAGGTGTTGACAGGGTTGGTTCTTTCTGAAGGGACTGAGGGAAATTCTGTTCTGTGCTGCTCTCCTAGCTTCTTGTGGCTGCCAGCAGTCCTTGGTGTTCCTTGGATTATAGATACGTCACTTCTGAGGCAATCTGTGCCTCTGTCTTGCTTTCACTTCTGTTCCTTTGTGCCTTAAATCTCTCTCTGCCTTTCTCTTGTAAGAACACATGTCATTGGATTTAGGGCCCACTTGCATAATCCAGGATGGACTCATTTGGAGATCCTTACCTTAGTACAAAGACCCTTTTCCAAAGTAAGGTCAAATTCACAGGTTGACTGGGTGTATCTTTTGGGGAGCCACCGAATGAGTCAACCAGACAGTGACTGCAAATAAATTTTACAGATTTGACATTCAAATCTTGGTCTTTAAATTGTAAAAATAGTGCTCTTTCCTGGTTAGCCTAGGGGGGAAGCTTCTGTTCCAGACGGAGTCACCTCCTGGTGAAAGTAGCTACAGTACTTCCCACTTGCCAGATACTGTGCTGTTCTTACTTTCATTGTTTCATTTAACCCTTGTCCCAGCCCTGTGAAGTGAGATTTCTAAACAGATTTCTACAACACCCATTTTGCAATGAGGAAATTAAGAGCTTAGCCAAGACCAGCACCTAATAATTGAAATTAAAGTTCTGATGACTATCAAGCTTGTGCTCTTAACTAGTGTACTATCCAGAACAAAGACATGGTGATCCTGCTAGAAAAGTCAGGCACCTGGTTCAGGTGTAGGTTTACTGTTTCTGTCTGTGATACGAAAATGAATAAAGTAGAAATGGCAACAGATCCTGATGCATGCTTTCTCTGTGCTCTCATCCTGAGTATGCTGAAACAAATCAACATAATAAGGAGTGTTTACTTGGTGGGCTTTATTCTGTGAAGTTTGATTTTTTAAAAACTCTTAGAAGATACTAGTATAGTAGCATTGAAATTAAATAAGGATTAAATAAAATAGGTTGTGCAAAATTATAAAACATCCAATATATTGCAGTTTGTATATTCTTGTTAGATGATTTGTCATTTCTCTCTTTCTTTTTTTTCTTTATGCTGACTCTTTCATGAACCTGAATTTTTAAAGTCTTATGGTGTTATATTGACTGACACCTGTTACTTAAATATTTGTAATATGTCTGTTTATCTCAGAGTAATAAGTACTGCTTTACTTGCTACTCACTGTCATGTCTTCTCTTATGAACAAGTTTTTTTTTAAGTACTAACTTAATTTTTTTTTAAGTACTAAGAATTTTTCAAGGATGACATTTTTATCTGGTGAACAATTCACATGGATTCCATTTCCCAGTACTGCATGTGTTTGAAACCTTTAAGTGCTGTATCTAGGGGAATTAATATCCAGCTTAGAATAGCATTGTACTCCCAGAACATTTTCCTATCAGGTAGGAAGAGAAGCCAGGCCAAAGAGCCCTATTTGGAGGTATCTTGGTTTGTGATTTAGGTGCCATAAGCTCATTAAAATCTGTTTGGATTTACCTCCCCCCCCCCACCTTGATTTTATACTGCACACAGTGTGAGTGATAAGTGATGAGAAATAAAACCTGTAGTTCTGAAGGGCAGGTTATTAGACTATTATTACTATACGAGTCTCATCCAATTTCAGGTTTATTTGCAGAAAAACAAAGATCTACAAGAAGTTGGCATTAATTAAATTAGGTGTAGAGAACTTATTCTTCACTTAAATTAATGCCACTTGACATTCTAAATTCTCCTACTCTTAATCTCGTAATTGCCTCATTTTGCCATGATTTATAAATTGTGAACTTGGACCCTTTGTCCTACTAGAAACTCAATTGTAAAAAGATTTATTAATGAGGAACTGAAACAACTTTATTTTAAGCTTTATTTTAAAATAAATTCTGATATGGCATATAATATACTGAAATTTCTAATTTTGAGGGGGAAATTAGGATTTCATGATATAAATGTTGGTCTTTGGAAAATATAAAATCCTAGAAAATACTTGGGATGAACCCCAGTTTAGCCAGGTGCTCCAGAACCCCCACACAGTGCTGTAGTCTCCCCTTTGTGTCCCCCACATTGTGGCTCTGGGTGGTCACCCTTCATGTCCTATGAGGCTCAGGATCCTCCCATCAATTTGTGGCAAACTCTGATCTGGGAGGAAGAGGAAACAAGACAAAAAGTCTGCAGGTAAATTCTGTACCTTGTCTTTCCTCCCTGTATTTTCCCCTCTTCTATGTCTCCCGTGAAGACATTCTGTCCTCCATAACCAACCAACCAGCTGAAGCTCTGGCCGCCCTAGCGACGTGCCACTTTGTATGCCTTTCCTTCCTGCCTGCCTTGCTGTCCTGCTCCCCGATCCTGGCTTCTCTGAGACTCCATCCTCAAATACAGAGTACACTTGGCATATGCTTTTGAGAAATATGCTCTTGTTTTTTACAGATAAGCCAATCTAAAACACTTTGAAAACATACATTTTTATCAGTATTTTGTCAAAATATTTACTAGGTAATTTCAGCAGGCACAGCCCTTTGTTATTAATTGGGTTCCATAATTTCTTTACCTCTTGGATATAAAAATAGCTTTTTAAATTACTACATACATATGTATATAAATTTTCCTTTATTTTACTGTATATATATATGTTAAACTTTTATACAAAGTATATATTCAATATGTAAGTATAATATATAAGCATAAATAGAAATATTTCATCTATTAATATATGAAATATATATTAGTATATATTGATTATATTATTGAATTTATACTATTCTTTATGCAATGTGTAGTTAATGAAAAGTAGACTTATGATTTTTGAAGTAATAGGATTTTAATATGCTATTTTATGACCAAATTGAGAGAAAAGCCCACAGAGAAAGGAAGACACCTAATAACCTCCTCACCTTCCCCCATCCTGTCTGTTCTCACCAAGCTTTCTTCATTTTGCTCCTGATGTATAATAAGCCTTTCCCTTCCTTCCTCCTATTGTTAAGATTAAGAACTAAAGAGGCTACCCTTCATTCTTCTTGGCATTTAGTTCTTTGGGCAAATGGAGACTTGATTCTGTTACTCAGTAAGATAAAACTAAAAGAGAAAGTGCAGGTACAGTATCTAGCATAATGGCTGGCTAAACTATAATGTGGTTGCCCCTCTGGAATAGAGATGCACTTAGCTGCCCTAGTTGTAATACACTTTATGAAACTTTCAAGGGCTTCTGTCCCCTCGCTTCCAATTCCTGCCATTACTTGAAGAGTAAGATCCAGTCAAGACAGAGGCTCTGATATAGTTTCTTTGGCTGTCAGATTTTTGCCCTGAGCATTTAAAAAAAACATTGTTAGGTCTCCACTAGTTGATATGCTACCAGTTTTAAGTCTCTGCTTCATAACAATGACAGGGCTTTTACTTAGCTTTTAGTTGCTATGAAAACTTAGTGTTTAAACTAAATGTTCTTCTCACTTGTCATTTATTATTTTTTTCACTTAGTCTAATTCTTTCAGTAAGTCCAGTTCTTTTTTTCTATCTCATGATTCTACTTAAACTTATTAACCAATACATTATATTCTTAAAGATCACTTTATTTATGACTTCACCATGACTTTGGACATCTCAGGGAAGTACTACTTCTTTGGCTTATTTTATGCTCAGCATGGGGTCTTTTATGATTCTTCTGTAAAGTTCTCCTGTATGAATATGTAATTCCCCTTGCGTTAGCTTATTTTTATTGCAAAGTGAACTTTACTCTTAACTGCCCTAGTTTAACTTAATTCTTTACTTAGGTCATTAAGGTTGGTCAGGTTAACCTGTAGAGTTGTTTACACTCAGGTGGCTGATCCATTTTGAACTTTGTCTTTAAATCACTGTTTTGGTATTGACAGTAAAAGTTCATTTCAACAATTCGGTTATCCATCCTTAGTGAGAATTGGAAGTGTTCAAACTGTGAATGAAATAAGCCTGTAGTGTTTTCTCTTTTCAGTGTACTTGCTTTTCCCTCCAACCTATTTGATCTGAGATATTTATGTTTAGTTGGCAGAGTGGAAGTAACACTGAAGTGAAATTCTCTAAAATCAACAGTTGGGAAAAATGTGGTGCTCAGTAAGTTTCTTTGAGGAAGTTTCTATTTTTTCCTTGAGATGATCTCCATCCTACATACCAGAGCAGTTTTCTCAAGCAGAGGGTGTTTCTTGACATTTTCCTAAACTGTTGCAACTTCTCAAGATTGCTCTGGGAATTTAAATATATTTATCTAAATTCATCTATTTGCTATTTAAAGCAGAGAATGTTTCAACACATTTGTGAATAGGAAATACTTATTAAAACTGTTCAATTCTGAACCAGGAAAATTCCATTAAGTCCACCTTTTTTTCTGCCAATAATTACAGATTACTAGCCCACGTGAAATGTTTTGTGTTTTGCTTTTTCCAAACAATATGACAGCATAATTCGTCTCTTCCTTCAGAGAGAGTCTCTGGGTATGTACAAACAACATTCTGCAAACTCAGTGAAA